AAAAAAAAAAAAGTAACTTTTATGTAAATAAAATTTGAAAAATGTTTCAATTTTATTTATATAAAAGTTAAATGCAAAGTTGAAAATTATTTAAATTTGTTTGAGTTTTTAAGTTGTAAATGTAAACTTATATACTGTATATATTAAATTTAAACATAGCGCCAATAGAAAATAGCCACAGTATTGAGTACATAAACATTTTTATGATTTAAAAAAAGATATTTGGTAAAAATTTTTCCTTATTCTACTTTTCAGTAGGATGAATCATGCAATATTATTATTATTATTATATTATATAAATGGAGGTGGGTCTGCCATTTAGTTATTTAAATACATTCTTATTTTTTGCACACCATGTTTAGTGGTTATGATCTTCAGAAGTGGGGAAGAAAATCTAAAAATTCTTTATAGAATTTTATTATTATTATTATTCTATGTTTTATTCGTAAATAATAATAAAAATCTTGTTTTGATAGCCTGTAAACAGAGTTCTACAGGATTATGACATTTCCAGAGATTGTAAATATATTTATACAATACTTATTGCTAGATTATAATCTAGCAATAAGTATTGTAATATCCGAAAGTAAAGCTGAATCGAACCAACAAAGTATAAATTCCTGTAGTCAAAGAAAGAATGCTTTGGGCTGTGGCATCGATTTTCATAATAGTGCACGGACCAATTCTCATCCCCCAACGATAACGAGTGGTAGGGACATATCGAAAAACGCAAAAAGAATTGCGGTGTTTACAAGAGGAAATGCAGGTGTTGGCGATCAAAATGCAGGAATGGATATTGCGGTTGTAGAGAAGAAGAGGGGGAAAAAATCGAGACTGCGAAAACCTTATACTACGAGGTCGCGGTTAATTTCCTGTTGTAGAAAAATAAATTTAGAAAAAGAGTACAGTTTTATAGTTATAAAATAACTCAATAGATGGCGAGAAACGATTTTAGGAAGGATGCCAAGCAGTTTCAATAATTAATGGAGGAATAAAATTTTAAGATGAAAGAAGCGGCGGGTATTGTTAAGAGGTAAAGTAGGAGAAGATGCCACGTTTGAGTGATAACAGATCGATATTTTCCCTGTTTTATTTTCCAGCAATCTGTTATATTTATTAAACCATAATTTTGAACAAGATTCTTTCCTGTAAATAATAAAAACGGGGGTGGAAATGGTTCACCGGTGCCTGCCATAAATAATTTTCAAAGTATATTAAAAAATCCGACATAAACACTAAACCGCCAAGTTTTTTAAAATCTCTTAATTTATAAATTCAAAAATGAGATTTTTTAAAACTGTTTACACCTTTATTAATTAAGAAATTTACTGCTTAATTGTCATTTCAATTAAATTGATTAAAACAATTACAATTCCACCAATAAAGGATACAATAATCATTTTATTTGTCCACTAATATCAACTTTAATCCATTTAAATCCATTTATAATCATTGCACTAATCTAAAACCATTTCCTAGCAGGATTTAATGTTTAGAAAAAAAAAATAGTGCTTTTCATTAGACAATCTTGTTAGGCCATTAAATCCCCTAAAAAGTAAAGGAGGAAGAAAAAAGATAAAATTTGTTACAAGTTATGTTCTCAAAGGAAGCCCTCAAATGACGGAACATTTAAGACAGTAATTAAGTCAACCAACTTTGTGGCTGCAGTAATCAGGAGGTGTTCGGAATGGCATCTAATCCAAGGTTATTACTGTGGATGATGCAGTAATACCCCCTTGGAGAGGTGTAGTCACCTTGTAGCAACTTCTTCTCCTTTTATCGATCGTAAACCTTTTGCAACTCTTCAGTTCTTAACAATATATGGGAAGGTGAGCGACTGGTTGTAAGGGATAAAAAATATTACAGAAATTTATCTATCGTTTTTTAGTAATTAGAATTTCACCTTGCTGACTAATAGAAACGGATATTTCGCCAACGTTCGGCTTGGAATGCCTGATAAAAATCTGTTTTCCTCTTTCAAATAGTCATTTTATGACCTGGAAATTCCAACAAATAAACATTTCTAGAAGTAGAAACCCATCTAAACATTCCAAACATACTTATGACGATAAAAACTTTGAAGAATACAATAACTTTTAATGAAATCTTCAGTTAGAAATCATTAACAAGTATATAAATTAGCTGTTTTAAAACTTGTTTTCATCTAAGTTTGTAAGGAAGAAGAAGGAAGGAAAGAAAAAAAAAACAGCATTCGAGGGTTATACAAATTAAAACTTTTCTCCTATTTTTAAATTTTAAACAGGTGTTTAATATCAGCATCATTAATTCTCCAGCAGGAGCAAAGAGCCACTTGGCTAAAATTAAGAGAGGTTAGAAAAAATGGATCGAAGTTACTCCACGTAATTAATTCTGTACACAATTAAAATAGAATAAAATTGTTAACTTTATGATCGACCCTGAGTGAGGATAATCAGTTTTCTCAACTAAAAATATGTAAGAAACAAACAAAAAAAAAAAAAAAACATATAATGCATTGCGTTAGAAATTCATAGCTCTGAAGTGATTATCTCTTCAGAAACATTGATTATTATTTTATAAATTAAGAAGTTCAACACCGTTTCTCGCCTAAATATTTCACTTGGAAAGGTACAGGAAGGGAGGGAAGAAAAAAAAATTACGGAAATTTATTTTATGTCCGCCTATATAAAGTTTTAAAAGCTTTCGATGTTGGTGGAGATAGGCAAGAAAGTTAATCACGTAATGCATTAATAGCACAGTTTAGCTGTGAGAACTTTGTTAACTTTTCTATCATCAATTTTTTAACAGCAGATGACTCAGATATGTTAAATTTCTCATAAGACATTTTTGTATTCGTAATTTCATCCGTTTTGCTAGTTTGTATCATTTAACTGCGGGCGTTAAACCTTAATTATGAAACATATTGACACAATACCCCTAGAAGAAGAAGAATAAACTCTTTTTTTTTTTTTTTTGTTTCTTTCGACATTAATTTTTTACTGTCGTGGCAGATGTCCGCTCTCTCTTCATTCATTATTTACACATTTTCGTGTGTTAAATGTCACTTTGCGTGATCGAAAATACTTTTAAAAAAATTCTATTTGCCAAAGCAAAATACTTATCTTAGCGCATTCAATTACGTTATTTAATATTTGTAAAAAAAAAATATATATATATTTTTCTCCCGTTCTAAGCCGGTTATAAATGGCGAATGTATTCTCTATAACCTATATATAAACCTTTTATGCCAGGGAATAAAGTTTTCTACAGAAGTTTGATGGAATTCAGCACCCTTCCAGATTATATTCTATGTCAGAACAAATAAAACTCTAAAAGCTTTATTTATTTTGTTAAAGGAATCCATTGTGTAGCATTTTTTTCTTCTTTATTTAGTCTCCACTCTAAGGGATGAAGTCGAGCAATCGGGCGATTTTAAAGAATCGCTTAATCTGGATTAATACTAGAGGAAAAAAAAAATTATTTTTGTGAACGTTCGTAACCCTTTTTATAAAAGAATTCGATGATATTTCTAGGGATAAATCTTAGTTAAAATCCCGTAAATCGTATTTGTTATGGAAAGAATCGGGGTTTTTTCCGGAGTCAAATCTGTTGACTGTGATCGAAAAAAAACAGAAAGACATGACATCCTTTTATAGTTGGGAGTCTAGAGTCTGGACACGTACAATATACGGTAATAAAATATCGGAAATGGATAACATATCGATCGAGAATTTCATTATTCCGGATCAAAGAAAAAAAAAAGGAGGATCTACAAGCATCACTCTTTACCACGAGTACGAGTCGGAGTTGCTTTCGTAGAGATTGAACGTTCGATAAAAGTACTCTAGGCTATGATTATCATTCCTCAATAGGTTATTTGACAGCTTATTTGCATATATCAAGAATAAGGAAAGAGCGAAGAAAAACAGCCAACCGGGGAGGGGACAATGCAAATATTTACATCGTGTGTTTACTGCGGAGAAGTGAATGGCTGTTGGCTTCTAGATTAGCTTTAATATCTTCAAAACTCTTTTATTTCTCGCAGCTTTATCTAATATTTTCGTTGGAAAAGGTATTAACTAACTGCTGTAGGGGGATTTTCGACTTCCCAGTCACGTATCTCTTGATCTACTTTGTTGTCGGATACGCTTTAAAGCTAAAAATTAAACGCTCGAATTTGTACGAATTGCCAGTTTTTATTTCCTATTATTTATTTAAGTTTAGAATAAAATTGCTAAGATTTATTCTAAGATAATGAGTCTAGTATTTAACAAAAAAAGTAAAAACAGATGAATCAATTAATTTATTTACTATTCTAGTTTTTATTTTGCATTAAAATTACATTAGTTTTTTCCTTTCTATTTTATTATTTACATCTTTTTTTGGGCTGCAATTTGAAAAAAAATTGTTTATAAAGTAAATTACTTTACTTTATATTATTTAATTTCTATTCCTTTTTTTTAAATTCAAATTGTTATAAATAATGTTTCGGTTTGATATACAAGTCGACCCCCCTATAACACTGTTGATTTTTCCGTTTTATATGAATTCCATGTTGTACGAGTCACTTAGATTTTACAAATAAGTGTGCTATATTGTAAACGGCTCATGTATTTGTAAAATCTAAGTGACTCGTACAACATGGAATTCATATAAAACGGAAAAATCAACAGTGTTATAGGGGGGTCGACTTGTATA